TATAAAATTTGTTTGTAAGTGGATTGTAACTCTTATAATTAACTTTAGGAAAATGTATTTTACAAGATGTCCTCTATAGAGAGCATCTTCAAAAATATTATATTTTTATTAATACTTTTAAAAAATCAAACATTAGAATAAAAGTTCTTTTATATAAATCATACATGTTAATTTCATATAGAAATAATTGGTATATATTTTGGTTTGATGCATTTTTCAATGCTCATTTAATTTAGTTATTAAAATATAATATAAATATAATTAATGCAATCAGTCCTTACATCTGTATGTATAGCTATATTTTTAACTTTGTCTTTAATTTTAAATTAAAAAATAATAATTTTTTAATGAGTGTGTTGTATAGCATGTGAATATAAAAGTGTATCAGGTAGTGTCATTTTCAAATTGATCTAATAAGCATAATTCAGTTAATCAATTATACAAAATTTGACAAGGTTAAATATATGTCAGTAAATATATATAGTATATTTGATAAAAGATTATAAATGTTAAATCAATCTAAAAATTAACATGTATACTCTACACAAAAAAAATTGGACAATAATTGGTACACTATTTTATTTAACATACTCTGCAATACATCAATTAAGAAATTATTATTTTCAAATTTGAATTTAAGAGAAAAAAACTTTTCAATTACAAATTTTAATAACTAAATTAGTAGTTATGAACTAGTGTATGTATTGAATCGAATGACATACTAATTAATTTTTACAATACTTTTAATTCATCTGTTGATTTTTAAAAATTATTAATTATAAAGTAAGTTTTTTATCTACTCTTTCAAAAAATATTTAGAAAGACAACTTGTAATACGCCAACTATCAACTTTCTTATACGCTAACTATTAACTTTATAAACAAATAAATATTATTGCTTACATTTCAAGCAACCCTCCTCTAACATTGCTTGAGAGTTGAGATGGCCATTGGCTCCTAATAATCTCATTTTCTCTATGAAAAAGCAAAACCCCAACGCGCTCCATTGACCCAAAAATATGGTTTTGGTTGGAATATTTCCACGGAGACTGGAGACCAGTTCACTTCAAAAACGGCTAGGGGCGGAGATGGGGGACCATGGAGCCACCCTATTTTTTTATAAAAAAAATATTTTAAGTAAAACTTAATTACAATTTAATTCCAATTATATTGCATTTAATGTAATCACTTAAAACTCTACAAACTTTTGCAAACAAAGAAAAGAACCATGCCTTTCCGCATTTTCTTTTACTTTAATCGTTCCAGAGTAATAGGTGTTTTTATTAAAAATTTGTTCTAAATTAATTATAATTTTTTTGTAGACAAACATTTTTTTTCTTACGTAAACCTTATCATTATTCATTGCTTTAATTATTCATCTTATTAAGAGTGTATAAAAGTTTCTCTTTATATTTATCATTTTTAACGGTAATATATGAAAACATAAATTATATTTAAAATTTTAATTTAAAGATAAAATCACAAATGTTTATTATTTTAGAATAGAGAGAGTAATTGCTAAATTGTTTGTCTTTATACCTCTAATTTCTAATTGGGATTTGAACCTAACTTTTATTTTTAGGTGGGAGATTATTATTATTAGTATTAGTATTTTGGATGAGAAATAGAAAGGGAGATTAAGTTTTTTAATTTGCTTTTGGTTGTCAATTAAGTTGTATATGTTTTTGGTTGAAACTGGGATAATTTAACATTTGGTAATTTCTATTTATTTAGTTTTGGTATGATGATATTGAAGCAAATGTAATTTCATCCATTTCCACTTTATTAATTTTTTTCCTTTTTCTATACCACTTTTATCATTGTTTTTAGTGTTTTTTTTCCCTCAATTTATATAGAATATCTTAATCTTGACATAAGAAATCATGGAAAATTTTCTTCAAAGATAGTCAAATCTAAACAAAAGCAAATTAAACATGAATATTAATTGATTCTTCTTCGACAAATCTTTCATAGGATTTTGTTTTTCTTTTTTATCGGCCAAACAAAATAATTTTTTTATTAGAGAATACAAGGATACTCTAATATATACAAAAGAAAGAACTAAATTATCCAATGGACAATGATTCATGTACTTACTGGTTCAACACCCAATGGGTGTACATTCCACAAACCAAATAATTGTAAAAATAAAATCACAAATTTATCCTTAAAATCATCTTCTTCCTCACAATACCCCTTTTTCTTCTTATCTCTCCATCTATCTCTTCAACAATTTAACACCAATTTCTCAACTTTCTTCCCCCTCCCTTTCTTCATCCCTCTCTTTCTACCTATTGAAATGAAGAAGTTCTTTAACACTTGGGTTCTTGAAGAACCCAACATCAAATAAGAGGAATAACAAGCCACAAACCAACAAAGAAAATGGGACTATAAAAAAAAAAAAAAAAAAA